AAAAAAACGTTCTGCGTTACGACGTGAGAGTATGAGTCCCATTCGAAGTTGACTACTCGCTATTATCTTGAGAACGGTTTTCAATGGGTGCATTATTTTTATGGCCCTGTGACAGACAGGATATCTACCAATCGCCCCACGCGGTCAGATGTGGCACAAGGCCGAATTTAATGTGGGGTTCCGAGCCTGTAGGCTCGGTCAAAAATTCCCCGTATATCCCATATATCGGGCAGCTGTTTCTCTGGACAAGACCCCTGCCCTTCCACATAGCCTAGTATGAGGATCCTCTGCTCGGAGGCAGAGAGTTTGACCAGCACAGCTGGAAACGAATCCCCAACTGCAGACAGACAGTATGCATCTATTAGGGTGCCTACTGTAGAGTGACGGTTAGCTTTACAACTTATTTATTTGTGTAATGAGTACGATTATTTCTAGATGCTCATATTACTGTGACCTTGAGTTATACTAATGTATACTATTATTCCAATTGACAAATAAATAGCCGTATTATATTCGAATATACAAATATTTTCAATATTTTTTAAGTGAATAAATCAAATGAAGAAACTATAAACATTGGCAATCAGCCGGTTTATGAAAAATACATATTAGTTGACTTATCCGTAACTTTTGGAGCGCACTGACTTCTTATAGATTACAGGATGAGAAATTGAAAGGACGTGATCTGAGGGTTTGAAACCTTTGAGTTAGGTGCAGTATGCAGCGCACATCATTTCACAGCGACGTGGCAATAATATTCTGGAAGGTGGGAGCACCCAACCCTCTGCGACGGGTCTGTAACATTGTACAGTGTAACCCGGATATAAGAGAGTTGTCGGGACCGGAGAAGAAGTCTCTTATATCCGGGTTTATCTTATATCCGGGTTTGGTCTATTTTATATACATTAACACAGGCTCTAATTTGGGACCAGAGAAAATCTCTCTTATATCCGGGTTTCTCTTATATCCGGGTTACACTGTATTGCCCTAGACTAGATGCTAAACATATTGTATTTTAACGCATCTAAATCTTATTTTTTTGCGTTTTTAATTAGTTTCCTAATCTCCTTGTTAATATTTTGCGTTTCGGTAACTATTTTCTGTTCATTTATTTTTTTTGTATGTGTCGATATAAAACAAACAAAACAAAAACAAACATGAAATACCTACTGAAACGCAAAAATTTAAGAAAGAGATTGGGAAACTAATTAAAAATGAAAACAAATCCTAAACTCCTAGAATATCACCCTAAAAAATTCAAACTTTACAGTCTCTCTAAAATCCACAAAACAGGTATCCAACTGCGTCCCATTATATAAGAAGTAGTAGTCCCTCATAACAAAAAACTGCCGAAATTTTAACTAACAACACGCAAAACGCATTGGTTGTTCACCGTAACAAAACGGACCACAATTTTAACATAGGTAATGCTACTTTGATTAAAATAATCCACTGAGACGAAAATGTCTAGAAAGTGCCTTGATCACTAGTTCAGCGACGATAAATTTGTATCCAGACTCTTACAATATATAACCATTCTTAGTAGATTTTGTCACAGTGAGGAATAGCCAGGGACAAGGGTGATGGAGAGAGAGAGAGAGAGAGAGAGAGAGAGAAAAAAAAGAAGAATACAGATGAATTTTACTTGATTAAAAAAAAATCTTTCAAAAATATTTTTCCAAAAAACTTTTGAAACTACCTGCGTCGATATGAACCCCTTGGGCGGAATAGATTATCCATGGTTATCGACAAATGCCCGAGGCGTCAAAACGGGTTTAATAATTCATGGTGACTTCTGAATTTACAACCAAATATCAATGCCCTTGGAACTACTCATCAAACACATTCTCTCCATTAATAATGTCAACTAATTCAATAAATATGCATATTGAGTTATTTTTAATGTGTTTATTATTACCTATTTCATTTATGAAGTGTTTCATTGTTATTATTATTATCATTATTATTTTTATTTCCTTTGATTTCTGGCGTTTACACATTTCTTTCCGGGTCCCGCCCAGGGACCTAAGGTTAGAAATGGCATCATGACACTTTCTACTGACCAAAAAAAAAAAAAAAAAAAAAAAAAATTACATGGACAAAGCTCTTCGTAAACTGTGGGCTGTACTTGTCAGAACAATTTTTTTTATATTATTATTATCAGTATTATTACAGTGTAACCCGGATATAAGAGACCCGGATATAAGAGATCTGGATATAAGAAAAACACGGATATAAGAGACATTTTCTCTGGTCCCAAATTAGAGCCTGTGTTAATGTATATAAAATAGACCAAACCCGGATATAAGAGAAACCCGGATATAAGAGACTTATTCTCCGGTCCCGACAACTCTCTTACATCCGGGTTACACTGTATTATTATTCGAACGATTGAAAAAGGGATAACCAAACGCAAAGCTAAAATTAATACTATCGAGAAACTGGCAAAGGGATTTCTGCTCTTATAGAAAATAATAATTATTGATATTATTTTTACATGTCTGTGGGTCGATGAGGGATCAAGAATTCAATGAAGGCATCAATGGCCCAAAAAGTTTTGGGATTCTTGGTTTACTTTTTGCTCATCTTAACCTTTATCACTGTGACTTCATTTGCCATACAAAAGTTTATCCTGCCACTAAAGGTGACTCTGATCCGTGTGTTTGAATTCTATAGATGTGTTACCATATATGGCTTTGAGTGAAAACGCCAGTAAGGATACTACAATTGAGAGGCCTTGAAAAAGAATGCAGTGGAAAGGGAAGTAATATTAATAATGCAGAGTGCTAAATATTAAATGAAATAAGCGACATCAGATACCGAAGAAATTTAGGAATTCTGCTGAAGATATGTTTTTTTTCTCTACAGCACTGGCTCGTATTTGTTTCCTCAAAATTGTTGTCAAAATTGATCGACAAAATATCTCTTTTTCACTTTCTAAATACGATAAACGAAACGCCTGTTATTTAAATTGTTCGCGTTCAACTGTCCATGTTTCGAGATAACTCGTCTTGTTGTTATTAAGTTCTGTAATTTAAATATCTGGGAGGGTTTCGTTGGTAACAAAGAAAAGAGTACTGAAGTGCTATGTGATATCTGTCCTCCTTTACGGCAACGAATATTGGACGATCTCCTCAAAGATGAGGAAGAGACTCGAGGCATCAGAAGGATGCTGAGGATACCATGGACCGAATATGTGAGCAACAATGAGGTTTTGGAGAAGATTCAAACAAAGAGGAAACTTATACTTAACATCAGGAAGAGACAGCTGAAATTTCTGGGATAGGTAATGAGAAAGGAGGGCTTGGAAAATATGATACTCATAGGGCGGATAGAGAAAAGAAGGGACAAGGGAAAGCAACGCGTGACATACTTATCGGGCTTAAGCAAGTGGAAAAATAATTCTGGGAAAATAGCAAAAAAACAAAACTTGTCGAATGCTACAAAGGAAAAGGAAGAAGTGGAGTGCCACGACCTTCTACGTTCTGAATTGACGGGCCACATAAAAGAAGTTATTACTATTTTGTCATCAAATTCAAGGCTTTAATCTACTAGTCTATTGTCCCGTGGGACAAACATGTAATCTTAAACCAGCAGTAATAAATAAAAAAGGCGAAATATTTAAAGAGATAGACAGTGGAACGAGAACAATCTGTCACTGTAGATTAAATAAAGTGTTCACTTTGTTATTCCCTGAAGGTTATCTGGATCGACCTGAAGAAGGTCGCAGGGTACACAGACCGAAACATTGTAATAACATTAAAGATGAGGATAATATTTACACTATTTATATTCGGACTATTTTCCTCATCTTTGTTGTTTTTATCACAACGTTTCGGACAGTGTGTCCTCCGGTCTTCATCAGGCGTATCCTACTGAATTCTGAACTGAACCCTTCATTTCATGTTCTCGCACCACTACCGATGTATAGGAATATTATTATGATTAAATCAACGCTTTAATCCAATAGGTTATTGTCCCATAGGACAATTCTCTGTAGTGAACTTGGAGCCTTAACACTAACCTGCCCGCTGATTAGTGCTACTACTGCTGTTGCTTGTCATGTTTTCAACAGCAGCAGTAGTAGCAATAATCAGCAGGCAGGTTAGGGTTAAGGCTTCAAATTCACTACAGAGAATTGTCTTAATGGATTAAAGTGTTGGTTCGTAAACTTCGTGATAAAGTGGGTTCAGTCCCTGGTCCGGGCAGTGTGTACTTGCACTCAGTTGAAATAAGCGCGCAGTAAATGAGCAGTACTAAAACTAAAGACTAGACGATATCCCTAGACACGAGCAGTAGAACGAGAACAGTTTACCCCCGTAGATTAAATAAAGGGCTCAGTTCGAAATTCCCTGAATGTTACCTGGATAGATATACGCCTGATGAAGGCCGGAGTATACAACGACCAAAAAGTTATGATAACAACAACAAAGATTAGGACAATGGACTGAATATATTTAGTGTAAATAATAACTCCTCATATAAGAAATTCAGACTTAAATGAAACGTCTTGTACTCTTGTAAATAATATCAAAAGAATAACTTTGATATAAAGTGATTTTTACATTTTCCCATTTGCAAATTAATTTTCTTCAAAACGGTCAACATCCGACGAAAGATACATTTATATTTATTCTCCAAATTTGGTATAGTCAAAGATTAGGTTATTTGACAAACACATCAGTCTTTTATTAAGGATCTCTTTCTTTGTGCGGATCATTTCGATTTCCAAAGCATGCCGTTTCAAACAAGCGCTATTCTCATCGGCCATGTTTTTCATCCGTTGTTCATGCTCCAGACGAGTCATTTCCATTCGACGCTGATATTCTTCCGCCATCAATTTCATTCTGAATTGATGTTCAGTCGTAAGCATTTGCATTTTGCAAAAATCCAAGGTTGAAATCTTCTGCGTTTTCTTCTCTTTCGAAGGTATTTTGGGTTGTAATATCTTCTGTTGATTTTCTTGTTGGTCGTTTTGTAGTTTGGCTTCGTTTGGCAACAGCAGGTGTAAATCGCCGGAAGTGACATCACACGTACACTGGCTAGGAGCCATGTTAAAAGGTGAATCTTCGCTGATCAGTTCTTCATTCATTTCTAGGCTCTCCGTTTCGTTGACTTGGAGGCCGCTTAAAAAGAAAGAAGAAACAAACAGAGTAAATAAACTCCTGTTAAGAATTGTTAAATTTTCGACTATTATTTCCTTCGTCTTAATTCCAGTTTCTTTTTCATCGCATCTACTCGATCATTAGCCAACAACGTGAATCGGAAACAAAGAATAAACCCTCAGTAAGATTTGAACTGGTATTTTTCTCGAGAAGTTTATGTCCGACAGATTTCTACCATTTACGAGCAACAACGGTAAAAATGTCCAAATTTAACCAAAGGGACATATTCTTTAATTTCTCCACACGCTCTTCGCTACCATATTTGCCGCTTTGTTTACATATTAGAAATAATATTATCTTAATTTAAAAAAAAATGTTTTTACTGAACACGTGTAGGAAAAGCAGTAACGAATTATTATCAGCTTAAAGAAAAGTAGTAAATATTTATCGTTCGATTACTAAACATTTTTTCGTTTTATTTTTTTTTTAAGCATTGAATCGAATTAAATTTCCTATGGCAGGATTATGGTTAGTTGTTTTTTTTTTTTTTTTTTTTTTTTTAATAAAATAACGGAGTATCAAAAGGACGTTTTTTCTCTTGACACCGCTTTTATTTTAACTGGCTTCACTCCTCGGCAACGTTTATTGTTTTTAAAAGCAATGATTATGTCGTAGTTATCTCCTCCTCAGTTCATTAATCCTTCACCAGGGGTCTCTCTCCCTTGGCTATAAATACTGGGTGACCATTTGACTCGATCTCTTTTCCCCTCAGGCCTTGGGCCTTATACCTCGCGTCGATGAGGTGGGATAATTCTTTTCATCTTCATTTCAGCTAATACCAATATGTGAGCTCTCACCAATACAGCGTTTCCCAAATTCTGGGAATACGCTAAGAACAATACCAATACACATACGTACGAACAGTCACCACAGTACGCGCACATAATATTCACCACACAAATTCAATGTAACTGTCCATGTGCTTGTAACTTGTTAATAAATATATTTGTTTATATATAATTATCGGTTTTGTTTGTTTTCTTTATCTTTTTGGGACTTAATTAAAGTCCAACATTCTCATATAGCTGGACCGGCTAGCAGGAAATTTTAACCCACGTGTGTTCTTTACATCTTCACCGTCACGGTCCACTACAATTAGAATAACATATGATGAAAGTGAATTCATACATTTTTCTTTGTTCTTGAGAATTTCCAATAAAATTATTCAACACCTTCTTTATTAGACTGTTTATTTATAAGAATTTTATATTTACAAGATTCTAAAAAACTAATACAATTGTATTAAAACTAATCCAATATTTATCATTTACCAATTTATAAAGAAATGAATGTGAAAACAACTTTTTATTTATAAACATTTACTAAATTATTAAAATATGTGAACCAACTTTAAGGAAATCCTTGTTACTTTTATAATGTTCGAATCATTTGGAAATTAGCCGATGTTTTGCCAACCATTTTAATAAACAATGTATTAAATACTGTAAATAAACAATCTAATAAATAGTGTTTATTATTTTTGGGGTAAATTCTCAAGAACAAAGAAAAAGTATAAATCCACTTTTATCATATGTTTGGGCTTTATTAAAATTCTAATCATTGCTTTTCAAAAAGAATAAACATTTCCGAGGAGTGAATGTAGTTAAAATAATAGCGGTGTTAATGGAGAAACCGTCCTTTTGACAAACCATTTTTTGTGGGCACGAAGATTCAAGTTTGGCGGGTTTTTTTTTATTGGTCTATAATATTTGTTATTGTTGTTTTCGGCCAAACCCACTTTTCCAAATCAGTATTCTTATGTTTATTATGGAAATACTAATTTTAATTCCTATTTGAATATATATATATATATATATATATATATATATATATATATATAGAGAGAGAGAGAGAGAGAGTCCGCCAAAAGAATGTATACACACTTCAGGAAAGGAAAAACTTGTATAGATATTGTAATACTTAATTTATTCAGACATTACGAAATTGATACACGTTACTTCTGGACACTCCAATGACAAATGGTGGCCTTTATCTTCCAGGTATTAATTAGTACTGGGGACCTTCTGCTTGGCCAAATGTCCAGTGGATTGATGCACCTGCATTTTCAAATTCTTGCCTAAGGGCCGCCGATATAATGCCATCTGTTGAGAAAATACCGTACTACAGTAAACAGGGTTATTGCAATTTGATAAAACTACGAAAGACAAAATTTTTCTTTCCTGAAGTGTGTATGTATTTTTTGGCGGCCTCTGTACATTATATATATATATATATATATATATATATATATATATATATTTCTAATGAAAGTGGATGTATTTTTTGTTTATTAATCAGACCAATTTTTACAACTTCGGGCCAGAATATTCTAGAAAATGTTATTAGAAAAAAAAAACTGTTGGAGAAAGCATATTTTTCTCTTATAATATTTTCTAGAATATTCAAGCCGGTAGACGAAAATAAATAAATATACTGTTTAATAAATAGAGTGCCCACTCAAGTACGAGTATCCACTAACAATAACGTTTAAGTAATATATATATATATATATATATATATATGTGAAAAGTGTGTGTATATAAATATAAATAAATATATATATATATATAATTAAATATAAATGAATATATATAATTATTTGTTTGTCTGACGATCACAGGGTCACAAACTCACATCTATCCAACCAAATATATATATATGTGTGTGTGTGTGTGTATGTGTGTGTGTGTGTGTATTTATGTACGTGTGCGTGGCAGTGAAAATTTAGATACAAATTAAATATATCCAAAGACAAGATAAGTAATAGACTAAAGGAAAGACTTTACCTTACCAATGGGTTTCACGCCCGAAGGAAATTTATCAAAGTAAATGCGAAGATTTGGTTTTGTAACTTTTTTGTGGGGAGCGGGGGATAAATAATTTTTTTTTTTTTTTTTAAATAAGAGTTATAAGATAATAGGAAAAATTTTCTTTACTAACGCGTTGGTGAAGGTAAAATCAATCAGCTAAGTGACAAACTTTTACTCACATTAATAATATATATCTGTGTGTGTGCATGTACTGACTTCACAATAGAGTTTAGCATTACGCGGTTAAAATGACGTTAAAGTTCAAAGGTATCATAACAAGTTTGTGCATGTTTGCTTCAATCTAGATGCACAAGCATTACAGTGTAACCCGGATATAAGAGTGTTGTCGGGACCGGAGAAGAAGTCTCTTATATCCGGGTTTCTCTTATATCCGAGTTTGGTCTAGTTTATATACATTAACACAGGCTCTAATTTGGGACCAGAGAAAATCTCTCTTAGATCCGGGTTTCTCTTATATCCGGGTTACACTGTACAATGATTTTTAACTGTATGGTAACTTTAGCTACGTGACTTTAATATATATATATATATATATTTTTTACATTATATATACATACATATATATATATATATATATATATATATATGTATGTATGTATGTATATATATATATATATATATATATATATATATTTACATATATAAAGGGAAAAGACAATAGGAAAACTGTAGTTTTAGCCGACGCGTTTCGTTCTTTTTCAAGGCAAAAAACGAGATGAATTTATTGAAACAAATTATCTATAAACAATAAACAAAATGTCGTTAGCAACTAGAAGAATTTATAAACGCTATTATATATTCATATGACGTCAATTACTTTATGTTTGAAGGGAATATTTTCTCGTGTAGAAATATTGTATTGCTGTGTTGACGGATTTAACTGTTTTCTTTTGATTTATTGATATATTTGTTGTGTACATTGGCTTGGGAGAATAGTGATTCTCTTAGGAAAGGTGAGATTGGGAAAAAACCTGGGCGTAGATTAATATTTGGGTAATATTCAATGGCGGCACTCTCGAGGATTTTCCTTCTGAGAGAATTATTTTTTTTATGAATGTAGCATTTATAAAAATCAAAATTGTGGTTGAATTTATTTCCTTGTATGACTAGTGCATTTGGTAAATTGTTATTTATGAGACCTCTTTTGTGCTCATAGATGCGTTTTTTTAATTTTCTGTATGTTTCTCCTGTGGCACCATGCATCCAGGCAGAGAAAGAAAGGCAAAAAGGGAAAAGGAAAGAAAAGAAGAAAGGAAGGGAAAAAGTAATGCGAGACGGATCATAGGTGATAAGCGAAAATACACACACGGCTTAAGAGGCAATAAAAAAAAAAGGGTTATTTTGGATAAGTGGCAAATGGCGAAAAGAGTGTCATTACAATGACAATGAGATTGAGTGGGTAGGGAAGTGTTATCTAAGGATATGAAAACAAACTATTGGTACGGGAAGGCATCTTATTATCAAAACACAGGCCACCGGCCAAGGGAAAAATTCAAGCGAAAATGTTATTTCGATAAGTGACGACAAGAAACAGGCGACTAAAAAAAAACTTTGGACAGATATGAAAATTAAAGGACCACCTACGAGTAATCATTGACTGATTTTCCTACTTGGCCTGCGCGAATAGAATTGTGTTATCAAGAAATGTTCGCCAAAGAAAGTCCACTTGAAAACGTTAGATTTTGATAATTGACAAAACACAGGTGTAGCTCGGAGCCTTAGCTAGATATGGAAAATTAAAATCCCACAAAACAATCTCGCTAATTAAACTCTTTTTCGACAAAACAAACTTTTGCCCTGCGATAATAAAATTTTGTTATCAGACACATGAACCGAAGGAAATGAATGGAATAAGAAATGTTTTTATTTCTCCCTTGGAGACGTCAGACCGACTGAAAACTTGGAGAAAATTCTTTTCTGAGGCCATGTCGGAAAACCAGCCATCTGATGAATTAGCGATAAACTGCTTGACAAACGCCACGTGTTGAACAAAGAGTTGTCATTATCCGTTCATGATAACGGCGATTTGAAAGGAAGAAAAAGAGGAAAGAGGAGAGATAATTAATTTTTTAGTTAAGCAAGGTGTTTTTTTTCCGAAACAAAGCTGCGGGTTGTTCACGCCCGACTAAG